GAATCCCTTTTGGTTTTAAAAATCCATTTGCAACTGATGGGCTTCGCACCTTCTGGTAATGGGACAAGATCCCAAACTTTATTGTCTTGCATAGACTTATACTCCTCATTCATGGCATCAATCCATTTTCGAGAGTTAGAACCCTGCATGGCTTGATGTAAATTAATTGGATCATCTTCCATCATTCCATTATATTCCTCGTGTTCTTGGAGAAATACTATAAAATCATCCAGAATAGTATTTTTCCTTTCTCTCGTGGATCTTCTTAATGGCATTGGTTCTTGAGGTTGTTGAGTTTGCACTTCTGGAATAATTACCTCATTTTGGGTGGGAAATTCTTCAACATTGTCTTGTTGAGGTTCTGGATATACTTCTTGATCAATGACAGGTATAGAAACATGTATATTGTCAAAAGTAATAGTAGGAATCGAGACCGATCCTTCCTCAACTTCTTCCTCAAATACAATGTCTCTAACTATATTTCTCCCTCCAAACTCAACATTCTTAAAAAATGTTGCAATTCCCGTCTCAAAAATTGACTTGAGTGTGGGATCATAAAATTTGTAGTCCCTAGATCGCTCAGAATAGCCAATAAAATAGCTGCTTACTGTTTTGGAGTCCAATTTCTTTTCATGTGGCCTATAAGACCTAGCCTTAGCTGGACATCCCCAAACGTGAAAATGCCTTAGACTAGGCTTTCTGCCTGTTCAAAGCTCATAAGGTGTTTTAGCAACAGCCTTAGTTGGTACTCTGTTCAGAATATAAGCTGCGGTCTTTAATGCCTCTCCCCAGAGTGATTTTAGTAAGTTTGAATGACTAATCATACTCCTTATCATGTTCTTAAGAGTTCTGTTTCATCTTTCAGCTACACCATTAATGCCAGGTGATTCTGGCATAGTGTATTAAGGGACGATTCCACAATCCTCTAGGTATTTGGCAAATGGTCTTGGACATTGTTCACCTGATCCGTCATATTTGCCGTAGTACTCACCACCACCATAAGATCTAACGTTCTTTATCCTTTTGTTGAGTTGATTTTCAACCTCAGTTTTAAAAATTTTGAACATGTCCAGTGACTCAAATTTTTCATCAATGAGATATAGGTACCCATAACGTGAGTAATAGTCAATGAATGATATAAAATATTATTGACCATTCCAGGAAGCCGTAGAGAATGGTCCACAAATATCTGTATGTATCAATTCTAAGACATTCGAAGTTCTGTTAGCACCTAATCTCTTTGTTTTGGTCAGTTTTCCCTTGATACAATCAATACATACATCAAAATCAGTAAAGTCAAAGGAATTTAAAATACCATCTGACTCAAGTCGTTCAACTCTAGCTTTTGATATGTGACCTAAGCGCTTGTGCCATAATTTTGCTGAATTTATTTATTTAATTCGCGTTTAGTACCACGTGATTCCACATGCAAGGTTTCATTATATGATGCAATAATATCAGGCAAATATATGGTATCATATGTAGATAACGAACCAGTACCAATAACATTTGAATTTAACAAAAGACTAAACTGATTGTTTCCAAATGAACAACAATAACCTAATTTGTCCAATGAAGAAACAGAAATTAAATTCCGTCTAAAAGACAGTACAATGAAAGTGTCTTTCAAATCCAAATAATAACCAGTTCTTAATAACAACCTAAAAGTACCTATTATATCAACTTCCACCGATTTGCCATCACCCACATAGATGTATCTTTCACCATCACTTGGCTTTCGGTAGTTCAGGCAGCCCTGCATAGAAACACTTATATGAGTAGTAGCACTAGAATCTATCCACCAAGTGTTTCTAGGTACTGACGCTAAATTATCCTCAGAACAGACCAAAGTAAGAAGTGTACCTTTCTTTGCATGCCAATCGCGATATTTGGCACAATCCTTCTTCATATGTCCAGTTTTGTTGCAAAAGAAACAAGTTCCTTTGTTTTCCTTCTTTTTTCTTTTGTGCTGGACCCTTATGAGCAGCTTCATATTCCTTCCTCTTTTTCTTGCCCTTATCCTTAGAAATGTTTGCCAAGTGAGCACTTTCAGTCCTTTCTTGCTTCAACCTTTCTTCCTCTTGCACACAATATGAATGAGCTCATTTAGAGACCATTTCTCCTTCTGGCAGTTATAACTAATCTTAAATTGACTGAATTGTGCAAGAAGTGAGATCAATACCAAATGGACGAGCAAGTCATCAGACAGCTCGAGCTTTAGTCCCTTAAGTTTTGAAACAATTTGAGACATCTCCATGATGTACTCCCTTATGTTTTCCTTGCCTCTATACTTCATTGAAATCAAACTCTGCAAAAGAGTGCTTGTTTCAGTCTTATCGTTTTTCGCAAAACGCTTCTAAATTTTAGCAAGGAACTCCTTAGCATTAGATACCTCTTCGGTATCTGCACCTCTAAAGGCTTCCGGAATGTTGCGCTTAATGATCATTAGACTCATGCGATTTGAGCGATCCCATTTTTCAAAGTTCCTCTTTTCATCAGGTGAACTTTCTTCCACAAGAGGAGTGGGTTGCTCAGTCCGAAGAGTAAAGTCTAGATCCATGCTACCAAGAACAATCAATATGTTCTCCTTCCAATCCTTGAAGTTTGTCCCATTAAGTATGGGAATAGAGTTAATATTGGCAGATATAGTAGCAGATGAGCTAGCTGTAGAGAGAACAAAGTTAAAAAAAAAAGATTAATTATGCTCGATTTAATATCCACATTTAATAATTGATAAATTCAAATAATGGTAAATCCCATCTTAAGATACCTAGTGCAACATCAACATTAAGTTTTTGGACAGTAATATTAATTGCAAGTGGTACTCTCAGTGTAGTGATCAAATATTGACAATAACTCCTGTCAAATAATAAACCCATCTTTGGACTGATTTATTATTCACATTGAAACCTTATAATTGTCACATATTCATCACTACAAGTGTGTATGTAATTCGGCCAGATATTAACATTCCTTTAGACCGGCTAATTTTCGCATGAAAAGACATACACACAACATCCAAGCATCATAAACAAACCAATCTACACAAAAGAGGTCACTTTGGTGACATATTGTTTCAATTAGTTACTTAAAATGCTAGACAAACTTATTTATTTATTTATTTTTTAAAATGATTACCAAAATTTTGAATTAGATTGTCCCAATTAATTAAACTTTAATTAAAACCTTTTAAAGAAGTATTAGCACCGAAATTTGAGAAAGAGAAACCCCAATTTGCTTCAATAGATGCCTATGTAAATTTTAGGGACCTTTGGGTTAATAATTCAATACTTTAGGGGTTAAAATTTTGAAAATTTTGAAACTTTAGGGGCCAATTTTAATTAATTATGAACATTGAGGGCTTTAATTACAAAATTCAGAAGTTAAATGGCCCAAATTAATTAATTTTCAAACTTAGAGGGCTGAATTATTAAACCCGTAACTTAAAAGGCCCAATTGGATGAATTTTAAATTACAGGGGCTGAATCTTTAAAATTTTAACCTAATTAATAATTGCAAGTTGGTCCCTGAAATTACCCAAATTGCACCTGAAGCTCCCGTCTCCAAAATTCACCCAGAAACCGAATTTTTTTTCATTTTCCTGTCCAGCGCCAGCCGCGTGCCGGCGCCACTGTTGCAGCAACGAAATGTCGCTGCCGATAGCAACACTGCGTGGTGCAGCGATTTGCACCACCAACAGCGCTGTCGGCAGCGATGGGCACCACTAACAGCCCAGCCAAAACCGAAAAAAAAAAATCAAACACAGCAACTTCTAAATTCAATATTATGCCCCGCAATTCCTCAAAAACAAAAACTGATTTGATTTCTTTTCTTTAGTCCAATTCGTAAATTTCACCATAGGATGCTGGAATTACAGTTGAGGATTCCAAACAAACTGGTTCTATATTTTTATCCATGTTCCAAAACTTAAACCATTCGTATAAGCAAAAAATAAGAATTGTAAAATCACAACCCATAATTTGATTTCATGGCATAACATCACTGACCAACATATGCAAGAAAATTCGATTTTCAAAAAGTTAAGTAGGAAATTGCAGTGCCTTATTTCTCATACAGTTGATCCAAATATCATGCCAGATTCTTAATAATAACGTGAAGAAGATCAAATAACCCAAAATTTTTCAAAGATTCAACGATGAAGTGGCTTTGATACCACTTGAAAGAATTTGTAATCCAAATTTCTAGATTTGAAAGGAACTAATAACCCAATTTTAATCCTTTCATAAATATATCCGCGTTGAATCAAAGAGAACAAAATGAAAGTGGAAGCGTACCTTGATCCATGATTATAATTGATTTTGTTCGGATTATGATCTTCCAATTGATCTGTGATTTTCCTTAGAATTATTGAAGAAACTCTCTGTTAATGGGGATGCAAAGGTTATTAAAAAAATCATGTCAATTGGGGACCCCATGATAAATAATTTCTAGGCAGTTATCATCTTTTATTTGTTTTAAATTGGCACATTATCAATTTAAAACAACTACCCGGCCTCTACACTTTAATCCCATAATAATTGATACCCATCAGTCCAAAATTAAATTTATTGGATCACTTTAATGGACAAAAACTATAAGATAGCAACGCACACTTTAATTATATACATGTGTGGCCCCAATTGACAAAATTTTTCCAACATCAACTTCACCAACTATGAAATTATGGACCAGTTATCCATCGAAAAAATTAGGTATGTGGTGCATTCGATGAGCAGAAACCTTTCACCTAATACGTAGTCAACTTAAATACCTATTTCAAGTGAATAGGGACAAAATTTGCCTTTGATTTTGTAGGGCTAATTGAGTCTGAAAGTCAAACAAATTAATCTAAAGGCCAAACTACTGAATTAATGTAGGGTTTGAAAATAAGTCTCGTATTTATGTTGGAAGGGAGCATGGTAATTATGAATCAAAACTATTTGTGTATATAATGAGCTTAAACTTACAAGTTCCATCGCAAACATAGACAACTTGATTATATATGATCGATCAGCAAAAGAAAAGCAATTTTTCTTTTGTCTGTTCCCTTGAAGAAATGGCATATATAGGGGGCAAAAGAGAAGTGATTCATAGCGTTAAGTTTGGAATTGCTTTGGTTTTGGTTACACTTTCGTATCTTCTTGATCCTCTGTTCGAACGTGTGGGAGAAAATGCCATGTGGGCCATCATGACCGTTGTCCTCGTCTTTGAATTCTTTGCAGGTATTGTATAACTATCCAAAATGTTGAATTATGATCTAACAAAGTTTAGTTGGCTTTACTTTTCATGAAAAATGTCCTTTTTTAATTCAAATCCCTAAACTTTTGTAATCTTTGATTATCAATTTTTTCATGAAAAATATTTTTGATTTTTTATCACATGATCATATTTTCCTTAAAAACAGAAAACTGTTTTCTTTAGGGGGTGGATATTTTTATTTTCTATGTAATTCACTCACTCTTTTTCTTTCTCATAAATCCACTAATAAAAAATAGACAAGTATAATATTTTCTAAATTAAAAACTAAATCAATTAAACACATTTAATTAATAATTTACATATAAATAAGTTTTAGACAATTGAATTGTTTAAAAATTATTTTCATTCCATGCTCGCAATCAAGTATGCCCTAAAAGTTTAATTGGTACATGTAAATCTTATTTTTAATGTTGAACACTAAAAACATATTTGGTACACATATGATGGTACTATTATAGAGTATAATGGATAATACTTTTAAATTTTTTTATCTTTAATATCATCCACTAATATAGTTCAACCCGACTTTCCAAACATACCATAACTGTGTGCCTGATACGCAAAAATGAAATGGATTTTAGTAAACCACCTCAAAAAAGAACAAACTTTTTTAATTAAAATTTTTAAATAATTCATCTCACGTGGTGGCAGATTTATTTTTATATCAAAAGCCTAAAACATGAATTTTATTTATTTATTTTTTTAATAAATGGATAACACAGATATTTGAACTCAGTTCTTCAATTTTTTATATTTGAACCACTTCTTAAATTAATTAAGCTATTAGAGGTGAGGCATATTTATTTATTTGACTTTATAATCAACAAATCAGACAATTTGAAAGAGTTATAAAATATGTATATAAATTTACCATTTTATTTTTAAATTATTTGTGTTACTGTGTAGCAAATTGATTTTGATTTAAAAAATTCCAATTCCTGAAATATGAGCATGTTTGGCTTAAAATATTTATTTGTAAGTAAATAAGTAAATTTTCAAATGAGTGATTTTTAAGAAAGTTATGTGAAGATATCACTTTTAGACGGATTGGAGACTGAAAGGTATCCACCACTTTTTGCTTACTAAAAAATCTTAATTTTCATCTCTTTGTCCTTTCTTCTGCGTACCACTTTCTTTTCTAACATGTTATAAAACTCTCGTAATATGTAGACATTCTCAACAAACTGGATAAAGTTAATGAGAGTTCTAGCCAATTAAGACATTGCTTGATCATCAATTCAGACAAGTTCTGTTGTCGAGATTAATCCTTTCAAATTTGCTTAAGGGACATTTCAATAAGTTGCACTCAAGTCAACTATAGTACTCATTTTTCACGAAGAATTGACCATCTTAAGAAAAATGTTAGGCCGGAAACATATTTCTTTCAGATGGGAAACATATTTCAATTCGACCTAAAAAATAGATTAGTTAAAACAAATTCCATATCGTAAAATTTATATCCTTATACGCTAAGTTTCAATTTTTAAGCTTACCAAACCAAGCTCGGGATTTGATTTAATATCGTTTTGATTTCGAAAACTCAAATTCCACTTTCACTGGATTCCTTTCATTTGAGTTTTGTGAATGAAATTAACATTGTCTGCTTTCATAACAATTTGATCAGGCGCTACACTTAGCAAGGGAATATATCGAGGAATTGGAACTATAGTAGGTGGTGGATTAGGGTGTTTTGCTGCAGTTCTTGCAAATAAAAGGGGAGAGATGTTTGAAGCTATTGTTGTTGGCACTTCTATTTTTATTTTTGGTATGTATATAAAATTCATCCTTCCTGCATTACATCCATATTTCTTATTTCTATCTCAAACTATGAAGTAAAATTAGTTTTTCACAATATATAATTATATAAGTTTGTCTCTATATCAACTTATAATATACTTTAGATAATATGGTTATATATGCTGTTAAAGTAGATGAAGTTGAACTCTCATCTATTTATTAAATTTTCACATAGTACTTACTTGAAGAAAAAAAGTAAATTTGTACTAGACATGAAATGGTGTTTTTATACAATTATAAACAAATAAATATGTAATCTCTATTAAAATCATAATTTTTTGGATTGAAGAGTTTAATATATGGAATACGTTTCATAATAACTCTCCAAAAGAGAGATTAAGACACTCTAAAACATTTACCTCCACAACTACATTAAGAAAAAATCGGAAGAAAATATATCTAGCGATCCAAATTAAGTAGAGGGTTGACTATGCCAAAATTTATTTAAATAATGCGTCTTATACATAATGGTTTTAGGTTTACATATAGATGAGTGTCTCAAATCGAAAATGAAAAAGTTTTATTATTATTATTATTTGGTAGAAAAAATTCTGACTCAATCATATCTTAACATATCATGTATATGTAAACGATTATGTAAATGTATTATGTGTAGTGTAACCCTAATATGATTATCAGCTCCAACTTTATTTAAAAAGAAGGCTTACTTTTAGACCATTTTTCTTCAACCTTGTCAAGCCACATTAAAGTAAGTTATATTACACAGGCACTGTTGCAACATATATGAGGCAGCTTCCAAAAATCAAGAGGAGATACGATTATCCAGTGATGATCTTCATTCTCACCTTCAATCTTGTCCTTGTATCGCCTGTACGCTCAGAAATCATCGTGGGTTTAGCCCTGGACCGACTCGCCACAGTTGGTATGGGCTTGGCGATCTGCATATGCATCAGTATCTTCATCTTTCCTATGTGGGCAAGCGATGAACTTCATTACTCTACAGCCTTCAAATTTGAAAAACTTGCCTCTTGTATTGACGGTAACTATCAGATTCTAGTCAGCTTATATGAATTAAATTGCAGGTTTTAAAATGCTGTATTTTTATACATTTATGGTCAGAGGCAACATAAATAATTTGGAAAAAATAGGCAAAATCGTCAAGGGAGCTTTTTTAAAACAATAACAAAAAATTAGTGAAGTAAATGTAATGTCCATAGGCGACCGCCTTATAATTCACTTAATACTTAAGCCGACTCTGTGTAGGATGCTTGGAGGAATTTTACACAATACCCAATGATACGGAAACCCTACAAAGTACCGTTATGCAAACCTGCAAGTCTATACTGCACTCAAAGACCAATGAGGAATCACTAGTAAGTTTTAACTATTATATTTCTCTTAAAGGCGTGCCATAAAAAATGACATACTTTATGCTTTGCACATGCACACCGTAAAAAGTGAGTTACTTTTTATAGTATTGCTTTATATGGTGTTCAACTGTATGCTATAAAGAACTTTTTACGACATACAATGCTTTATTGTGCTGAATGTCATGGAGATCTTTTATTTATATGTACATTCCCTTCCCTTTCTAAAATTTTTCTCACATGGTACACTTCCATCGGTACAAAATTTATTCATATACCGCAGGCAAACCTCGCTAGATGGGAACCTTGGCACGGAAAGTTTGGATTCTTTCATCCATGGGAAAAATACCTAGAAGTTGGAGAAACTCTTGGTGAGCTTGCTGCAATGATTTTTACTTTCTATGGATATCTCCAATCATCGAAAAAGGTTTGTTACACACAAGTGTTTTTCTAAATGCTTAACGTGTAAGAGAAGAAACTTCAACATATTACTTCACATGCATGAATATACACGACTTTCATTAGTAGCAAACAGCGGGACGTTGAATTAAGACCTTTATATAATATGATATCATGTTGATCTACCTCTTGTGTACAAGCAAGATTCTTCTTTCGTTGCCCTCTCAGTGGCGATACTAGAACCAGATATCTTGTTTTAGGAAGAAATATTTATTTATTTGAATTTCTTTATTTGTATGTTACTTAAATGATTTTAATTTCGATGGCCAGACTTCATCAGTGATGAGCCAGGCAACGAAGGAACCAACTGAAATCGTGATGCTATCACTGGTGTGGATTTTGAGAGAGTTTGGAGAAAGTATTAAGAAGATGAAAAGATGTCGTGCTAGTGTTTTGATAACTCCGAAATTGCAATCTATGAAGCTGCAACTGAACCTAATATATTCCGCAGATTCCACAGTAGAAGCACAAGAAAATGATGAAAAATTCAAGATCACTTGCAGTTCATTGTTGATGGAAATTGTTGCAAAGATGGACTTATTGGTGAAAGAATTAGAGGGACTTGAAAAATTAGCAAAATTCCAAACAGAAAAGTATGAGTAAACCGTCTTTTGCTTGAAGAAGCTTTTGAAGGCTCGTTTGGTCATAAACACGGTTTTAGATTGCAATGGGAAACAATACGTAGGTACTATTTCTTTTTTAGGGTGTCATATCCATATTTCGTAATTGGTCTCAATGCAACAATTAGGATAGCAGGAGTTTTGCGTAGTTGATAGTTGAGATATTAATTTTGAAGTCAAGAGTTTAGTATTTTATTACATCCCGAGATGATAAATTTTACTTTCACTTTTCTTTTCCTTCCCACCCTTGACGCAGGAGCGTATAATTTGTCAGCGAATAATTCAGAAAAGAAACGAATGTAAAGAAAAGAACATTTGACGATAAGAGGAAATATAAATTTATCATATAATCAATGGTTGTTTTTATTACAGTGCAAAAGCCCTTTATATAGGGTTTCAAATTTAATATTTAAGAAATAAATATCTAATAAAAGCTATTAAATCAAACATTAATTATATTTCCTAATACTCACATTAAAATTGGGTTTCCAATTCAAATAATATCTCTTATAGTATTCCATGTGTTGGGTTGTGTGCCTATATAGTATGTTTTGTTATGATAAAATAATTATTTGTAATAAATAAATTGTGATTTTATTTATTTATTGCATTTATTTGTTATTGAACATGCAAATTAAAGTGCATATGATCACTTGTGTTAATATAAGTTGAGTGCTTGAGTTGAGAAATATAGTATGACAAAACTTATATTTTGATCATAAATAATTTGTTTACAACCAACGTATGAGGATTGACACCTTGTACTGGAAGGCTGTAGTGTTGATTAATTTACTATTTAGGTTTGTAATTTGTCTATATTATAGAAATAGTTAAATGTGACATTAGTATATTTGGAGTATATTGAACGAACCACGTGTCAAGTTTAATTATATAGTATAACTGTGAAGAGAATTAAATTCCGCTTAATCACTATGTATTTCATTTAAATCTTTTGATATGGTTATAAACATCTTTTTCATAATTTTAATGGTTCTTTGATTCATCAATAAGTGAGATCAATTTGACTAGTCAAATATCTCAATAAGTTGGGAACTTGAGAATGAACGAAGTAAAGAACATAAATTTGCGTCATGAATCGTCACCCTGAAAAATAGGTAGAGTGACTACTTAAGTATTTTCTGTTGAATGGTTAAAATCTGAGCTTAATGTTCCTCAACTGAAAAATCTGATGCATGAAGTGCAACCTCATTCTGCACTTCATTCTGATCGACGTTTAAGGACCTTCAATTTAAGAGATTTATATTTATCAATACTTTCCAATTCTATATCTTTTTTGTGCTTGTATTTGTTTTAGCTTTCAATCTCACTTTTGGTAAAAGAATTTGCTATAGTTAAATCTTATGCATGAAGTGCAACTTGACCTTCCGTTGGTTTATTTTTATATTTATCAGTACTTTTCAATGCTATATGTTCTTTGTGCTTGTATTTATTTTAGCTTTTGATCTCACCAACAATATGTTATAATTTTGTCATAAAAAAAACTCTTTGAACAGTGCGGAGAGATAGCAAACCGTCTCTCCACATTGTGCGGAGAGTGCGGAAAGACTTCGTCTCTTCGCACAGTTCGGAGAGATTTTTTTTTTGTTTTAATTTTGGTAAGTGCTTGTAATAAACTAAATTTGGTCATTTTTTATATACAATTATGCTTAGTTTATTTAGATAGAATGCTTTTTTCCCTTACACTTTCCTTTTTTCAAATTGTTTTTTCTTTCTTTCTTTCATAGGTGATGCTAATCAACCTTTTGAATCAAGTGATGTTCATGTTAGTGTTGAATATACAGAACAAATTGGTAAAGAAAGTATTCCTCATCAACCTTTTGTTTTGCCATCTTGCAAAATTTGTGGTCCTTGTGGTGCAACAAAATTCTACAGAGAAAGCAAAAGTTTTTGTTGTTGTGATGGAAAAGTCAAATTACAGTTATATGATATGCTACGTGAAATGTATGATTTATTTACTTCTACATCTTAAGAGGTTGTAGCTTTTAAAAAAGTTGTTCGTAGTTACAACAATCATTTTGCATTCACTTCATTTGATGTTAAGTATGATAAAGAATTGTGTAAGAATAATAAAGGTATATATACTTCCAAAGTTAAAGAACAAATATACCATTTCATAAACTTACTTGTACCAAAGGATGAGAATCCAATGTATTTACAGTTATACTTTTATGATTTTGAAAATGAAATTTGTAATAGACTAAATACTTCGAACAAGTTTTATAAGTTCACTTTAAGAAAGTTGATAGATGTTCTAAACAAAAATCTCCATTCAAAGTTTTTCCGATCATTAAGTGAAGTTAGTGATTTAGAATAATGTCGTATTTTACTGAGGTCTAATCCTGATCTTGATCAAAGAGTATATAACTTGCCAACATCAGAACAAATGGCTGTAGTTTGGGTTGACGATGACCCATCTGCAAATATTAGAGATCGAGATTTATTAATGTATGGACATTTGGGTAATGCATATAAAATTCAATACTATTATGGTTGTTATGATCTTCTTCAATATTCACTACTTTTTTCGTGTGGAGAACCTGGATGACATGAAGGTATTCAAAAGGTAAATGTAAGTGTTTTACAAGCTCCAATTTGTCAAATTTAATAGAAGTTAATCATGTCCATTCTGTGGATCAATTGTTAAAAGTAAAAGACTATGGTAAACTTTATCGATTATAGTAATTTCTATTTTTTAACTAATTTATTTATCTTATTGATTACATTTAGTGAATGAAGTTTTTGTTGATATATGCTTTTCTTTCTTGCAGTTTTGAAGGCAAAGAAGAAACGAATAACTGTATCATGTTGGGAATATTATTGTTACAAGCTTCAGATCAGGTGTGTAAACAATTATAATAGTGTTCTTTTACATGCTGGTAGACTTTTATAACAATATGTTGTAAATATATATGTTAAAATTGAAACAGCAAGATTAGACTACTTTTGTAATGACCAAAAGGTTATAAAAGCTGAACTATATCAGAGAATTGTAGATAGTGTATAAAATGGTGAAAATAGAGGTTATAAAATTGGTAGATCATTAGTGTTGCCTTCTGATTTTGTTTGGGGTCCTAGAAACTTAACTAAAAGATTTATGGATGCAATGTCTTAGTTCAGAGATATGGTAAACCTGGTGTGTTTTTGACAATGATATGTAATCCAAATTGACCTGAAATAAAATGTGAATTGAAACACAGTGACGAAATACAGAATAGGACAAATTTATTTGTATGAATATTTCGTGCCAAACTTGAGGAACTAAAGACAGATTTGGTTAAGAAAAAGTTGTTGCGTCCTATTGCCTCATATGTTTATGTGATTGAAGTCCAGAAAAGAGAATTACCTCACGCTCATTTTTTCCTAATATTTAAAAGAAATTCTAAGATCCGGAACTCTGTACATTTGAAATACCGAACAAAAATAAATATCCTTACTTGTATGCTACTGTTGTAAAACTTATGATGCATGGTCCTTGTGGAAATTTGAATCCTAAGAATGGTTGTATAGAAAAGAATTGAAAAGAATAAGTATCCGAGATATTACGTTGAAAATACTTCGTTGGGTAATGATTCCTACCCACTTTACAAGCGTTGCAATGATGGTGTAAGTATTAAAGTAAAAGGCTATATGTTGGACAACAGATTGGTTGTACCATATAATCCTTACATTTTAACTAAATATAACTATCACATTAATATAGATGTATGTTCTTCTGTTAAGGCTGTTAAATATCTATACAAATATGTATATAAAGGACATGAAAACATTCATTTTACTTTAAATAAAGAAACAAATGAACAGTTTGTTGATGAGATTCAAACTACCAAACAGCTAAATAGATATCTCTACCTGAAATTATATGGAGGATATTTAGTTTTGATTTATTCGATATATCTCCTACAATAATCTCTTTACAATTACAATGAGACAAATGATTTATTAAAAGTTATAAATAAAGACTTTTTTCACCGAACAATGTTAATAGAATTCTTTAGAATGAATATTTCAAATGAAAAGGCAAAAACTCTATTGTATAAAGAATTTCGAACCTATTTTGTATGGGATGCATCCACGCGAATTTGGAGTCCCAGAAAAAACAAGGATGTTATTGGTAGAATATTCGGTGCTAATCTATATGAGAGTGAGAGGTATTTTTTTAGAGTTTTACAAAATCATATTAAAGCGCCAAAATCTTTTGAAGATTTAAGAACAGTCAATGGTGTTGTTTTATCTACTTATTATGAAACAGCACTTTCACACGGTCTTCTTGGTGGAAATAGCTATTCTGACATGTGTTTATCTGAAGCAGTTGCTTACCAAATGCCATATCACTGCGAAGACTTTTTACCAATGTGTTGAGTTTGTGTTGCCCTATAAATCCAAGGAATTTATTAGACAAGTCTAAGGGTTTTATGATAGAAGATTATTTACATAAAGGTCTAACACAACAAGGTGTTGAGATGAAAGCTTTGCAGTGTATAAATTCTTTCTTAGAAGGTGTTATTTAGAATATAATTGATTTGTGCTTGATAGATTTTGATTTAATTATGAATGATGATGATATCTTTGAAACCATGATTGCTAAAAAAACAATCAATATTAATTTTCAGTTGGATATACATTATACTAAGAGTTTAAATAAAGAGCAACAAAATGCCTATGATATTATTTTGGATTGTGTTTTAAATGATAAGAATGAAATTTTTTTATCGATGACCCAGGAGGTACTAAAAAAATGTATTTGTACAAGGCATTACTTTTGGTGCAAAATCTTGAAATCTTATCACATTAGCAACAACATCATCAGGTGTAGTTGCATCTTTATTACCGGCTGGTCGAATAGGACATTCAAGATTCAAAATTCTGCTTCAATTAAGTTCTGATATGCATTATTCGGTAAGTAAACGATTTTCTTGGTAAACTTTTAGCATTGACTAGGCTAATAATCTGGGACGAAACATCAATGGTTCATAAATATGATTTTGAGGCTTTAGATAAAATGTTAAGAAACATTACTGAATGTCAATTACCCTTTGGTGGAAAGGTAATTGTGTGTAGAGAAGATTTTCTTCAAGTTTTACCGATAGTACAGAGAGGAACAAAAGATGATATGATGAAGGCAAGTTTAGTTTTTTTTTCATTTATGACATTCTTTTACACAGCTACCATTAGTTGAAAATATGAGAGCTAAATTAGATATTTCATTTTGTTAAAATTTGCTGAACATTGGGAATGGAATTGAGAGAATACAT